ATATCAAGTCAAAAAGAAAAATTCTCAATAGTCGACTCCACTTACTTCGCCCAATTCTGAAATCAAAATTACCCTTCCACACAAAAATAATCATCTACAAATCCTTATTACGGCCTATCTGGGCTTATGCTATCCAAATCTGGGGATGCGCTAAACCATCTCAAATACGTACCCTCCAGCCTTCCAATGTATCACTCTCCGAATTATCTCTTCCGCACCTTGGTATGTTTCAAATTCCACACTCCAAAATGACTTCAAAATAGAAACAGTAAATCAATTAGCAACAAAACATTATAAAAAATTTCACTCTAAATTACAATGTCACTCTAACCCTTTAATCGCTGAACTTGCTTCCAACTCACTTCCTAGTAACCCCCCACGCCGCCTAAAGAGAAATTGGTGTCGTGATTTATTGAATGATTAATGGTTCATACCATTTAATTTTAATTTAATTTATATCAAGTCAATAATTAATAAATAATTAAAATAACGTTGGGTTCTATCACTGGATGGCCTCCCTCCTCATGTGTTCATGTTGTAAATATAATTGTACGAATGTGTGCTCAAATTTGCTTATTATGCCTTATTGTAGCATAGATTGTAAATATTCTAATAAATAAAATAAAAAAAAAAAATAAAAAAAGAATTAACAGTAGAGTATATAATATCTATATTTAAAGAAAATATTATTCTACACATTTTTTTTTTAAATTTTTTGATGAAGTTCTGTATCCCTGAGGAATTTTAGAACATTAGTTATATTGATGTTAAGGTTTTCAACAAGATGGTGAGTTAAATTATATTTTTGACGTTGTGTTCGTACTTTCTGCAATCGGGTGGGTCTTCTTTCTACATTAGGAAAGCATGAGTTAATCTGGTATGGCCTATTCTGAGCCAATTGATGGCTACTTCTTCTTTCATTGTGAGGGTGTTGTTTGGCCAAGGGAGAATACGATTTTTAATTTCATTTAATCTAGTGTTAGATGATTTCCATTCGTTTTTCCATTCGTCGATCTAAGATTATATAACCTATATAAGTATAAGTTTTGTTCAAATAGTGTAGCTAATTAGCCACTTAGATATCTACTAGCAAAATATTATGGGATACATAACCAAAACACATCGTTTTAACTTTTTACACTATGTGTATAACTAACCAATAAAAGTCTTGTAATGACTTAAGCTTTAAAAGACGTGATAAAAAATGAAAACTGAATAAACATTTATAATGTATAGGTACTAGTTACATTTACCTAGTACCTACCAACACACCTAATTATAAATGTCAATATCTAAATCAACAAAAATAAACATGATTTAAGATTTGTAAAGTTGAACAGTATACATATAGTTAATACTTAGCAAGAAGTTTAAACAAATTAAATAAATTAATTTATTACTATTAATATAAAATATAAGTATTAGTATATATCATTATTCATTACCTTTGTTTAAACTTTCTGCGAAGTTAACTAAATGTTTAATTTTACTAATGCTCTTATTTTGTAATTTATAATAATTATACGTAGTTTGAGACGTAACCACATAGGTATTTAGGATTTCGGTTCACAAGGGCATAGAAACATAATAATATTATACAATATCTCCGAATAATTTTTAATTTGTGCAGACTGCAAGAATTAATATTTATGTAAAATAACTATAGTTATATAAATTACATTTTTTTTTTACAATTAGTTATCGTACAAATAATACTGGTGAACCTCTTTCTGCTGTTTAGTAGGTTTGAAGGCGCAACGTGGAGGGAACTTGGAAGGAATTAGCCCCTCTGAAAATTTGTATTTTAATTGAAGTATTAAATACTTCATTAATCAACTAATCTACTATAATACAGTAAAGTGTATACGTTGTTTGAAGAAATTATTTTATACAATTTAAACCACGATTCATTATAATATTCGCATGTTTTCCATAGAAGATAATACCTAAGACATCGAATATCGGATCTACCTACAGAACGACATAACATAATAATATAGGTAAATAGGTTAAATAATTGTATTACAAAATATTAGTAGTTATACCTAGTTATTCTTGAATTGTTGGTGGATTATAATATTATATTATTGGTAGGTATTAATATTTTAACAATATTATATTGTTTTAAACAATCAATAGGTACGAAATACGTAGGTATGTAATATGAAATATACTCTGAAAATCCACCGCCCCTTAAATCACCTTAAACTTGCCACCCCGGGGCAATTGGGGACCTTGCCCCCGTTAAATGCGGCCCAACCACTCAGGTTACTCACTAATATAGTAATATAATATATTATAAAAATAGATAAACGTATAAATATTATATAGGTAATAATATTGTTCAGCTATATGTTTTTACTATAATGACTTATAATTGTTCGTAGGTGCCTACCACAATTATGAATTATGATAATATAATTTTCTACAATATTGTAATAATTAACATATACTTTAAGGTTTTTAGATGGAATAAACAAAAATTATTACGATAGTCGATAAGCATTATTAATAACATTTTAACATATTTTTTTTTCTTGGGGGGTATTGAATTTTTTTAGGCGCCTTAGCCTCTAAACCCCTTCCTCATATGGGCGCATATGGGCATAATTATTAATATAATATGGATAATTCCAGAATTTAAACTTTCTGGGTTTTAATTTTCTGGAAAATTATGGTCTACGGTATCACTTTCTGTAAAACTACGTTCTGTGATTATAATTTCAGGCTTTAAACTTTATGGAATTTAGTTTTCTGGAAAATTATGGTCTACGTTATCAATTTCTGTAAAATTACGTTCTGTGATTGTAGTTTCAGGTTTTCAACTTTCTGGGATTATATTTCTGGAACATATTTTACGTTCATTTTATTTTCGATATGAAATCAATTCTGGAACATTAATTTTCAATTATTTATTTTTCTGTAATTTTTTTTTCTGTAATTTTTATTTTCTGTCATTTTATTTTTCTGTTAAATTTAATTTCTGGATTACTAACGTTCTGTTCATTTATTATCTGGGAAATTACGCGTGCCCCATATTTTTATATATCTGTGTAAATATACGAATGGATCTTCGCAGGAAAAAATTTTTTGTGTCCGTATATAATATTGCCTATATTTAGCCCCTTTTTTGCAGTTATCAAAATGTGACAACATTGATAAACCGTCAACCGATAACATAATTTTCATTATAAATTATAATATTATATTTTATTATATTAATTATAATTAAAATAGTTAAATACATTAATAGTTAATAAGTTATTAAAAAACACAATATCGTAATTTAAAATTTAAAAATACACAATTCATTGAGAATACAGTATAAATGTACAACCTATTTACGTGGAACATTATTTTAAATTTTCAATCTTTAGCTATAAAAGGTAAATTATATAATACAATTTAAAATTTGATAAATATTTTCAAAATTCGAACTAGTACCCAGATAGCAATTGTGTAATGATATTATTATTATTATAGTACACAAATATTGTTATAAAAATAATGTTATTATAATAACATAACTATCCAACTAACATGATATTTTTACATTTTAAATTTTAATTAAAATAGTTAAATACATTAATAGTTAATAAATTTAATAATACACAATTCAAAAAAAAAACACAATATTCATTATTCACTTACGATCGTCATTTAAAAGATACAATTCAACAATATATTAAGAAATTCATTTTCTTTTAGCGCTATAAGAATGATCGTGATATGAACGAACATTTAAAACACTTGTATTATTTAGTAAGGATTTTCTTATTATATTACCTTCACTCGACGACAATATTGATGAAATTCAAGTTTATTTTTTTATTTTTAGTAAAGAAACGTGGTTGTTTTTCAATATTCTTTTTATGTTGATTGTATTTATATCTTCTGTTTGCATAGGTTTTGATTCGTTTGTAAGTAATTCAATAATTTTATTGCAATGTTTTAAAATATGTTTTTTTGTGTACTATAATAATAATAATATCATTACACAATTGCTATCAGCTGGGTATTAGTCCGAATTTCGAATTTCAAATTTCAAATTTTATTATATAATTTAACTTTTATAGCTAAAGATTGAAAATTTAAAACAATGTTCCACGTAATCAGATTGTACATTTATACTGTATTCTCAATGAATTGTGTATTTTTAAATTTTAAATTACGATATTGCGTTTTTTAATAACTTATTAACTATTAATGTATTTAACTATTTTAATTATAATTAATATAATAAAATATAATATTATAATTTATAATGAAAATTATGTTATCGATTTATCAATGTTATCACATTTTGATAACTGCAAAAAAGGGGCTAAATGTAGGCAATATTATATACGGACACAAAAAATTTTTTCCTGCGAAGATCCATTCGTGTAAATATATGACTAGCTATTATCATTTATGAGCTTTGGAAAGAAAATGGCCGCTGCCTTTACCCGTATCTATATTCTATCAGACCTGTGTGGCTGTGTCACTCACAGACTTCTAGTATCACCGGATATAGTGATATACTGTTCTGTGCTTCTACAATCTACAGCGATTAGCGAATAGGTAACTAATATAATAAACATTATACCTATATTTATATAATAAATAATAATATGGGAATCAGTGACTTGTCCGACTTGTGTATTCAGTATTCACTATTCATCACGAAAAAATGAGATATTATAATATCTCTATTTTGCTCATATTTTCATAATGTTCATCCAAAATGTAAATATTTATCATCTAACTATATACAATTGTAATTTATAAGTAGTACTATCTAATATTTTATTGAACATTGGGATTGGGAAGCTTACTTAATATATTTTGTATTCAACTTTTGAGTACAGTTAAATTATTGTTCTGTGGTTCAACTACGATGTGGATTTTCAGATAGGTAGTAGAAGGCATTTTATCATTACATTGTGAAAATAGACCTATCAACTAGTTAATATTATACCTATATTTGAATTATTGGAACTTTAACTTAAAACATTATCATGGCCGTCGATGAAGAAGCAATATCAAAAAGGGTTACCAGTGTACTGGAGACACATTTAGAAAGTGACAAGGTAATTTTTTACTTTTATTGTTGTCTTTTATCACAATATAGTTCAACTATATTTTGTTAAAGGGACACACCAAAATTAAAAAAATTGAAATATATATTTTGTTCATTGTTGTATAATATGTGGCCTTTAACATTATAATTTAACATTTATATAGCATTATAAAGGCATAATGTTAAAATAAATATTCTACTAATAAAGTTCTACCTTCAAGATTGAACAATGCCAGGGTATTAATTTCAAAATAGGTCTAAAAGGATTAGACAATAAAAGTATGTGATTGTACCTCATCTTAAGAACAGTGCTGGCTAAATTGAATTTTGGATAGAGTCATTAACTTAAAGTGTACAAGGATAAGATGTAGGATTTAACATGTGTCACATAACATGACTACAAGTGAGCCATAATGTAAAAAATAAAAATTTTCAGTTATGCTAAAATATGATACATTGGTACCCAATGTTTATTTTTACAAAATCTTAAACATGATGTATCATGTTTTAGACATTTTAAAAGTGTATGGTTATACCTGTCTATTTAATTCAAAAAATCATATTTTTGGCACTTGGGAATCTTATAATTATTGTTATACCTGCCTTAAATACTTTCTTCATTACAGCTGAACTATCTTTTTATTATGATCTATATATTTATATATCTTACATATGCATACCTACTAACTGGCCTAGACGTTTTCATAAATTTAAATTATGTAAAATGTTATAGGATGCACTAGAAGCGTTAAAAGAGATTTCAGAGTTTTATACTGAAAATACCTTGGAATGTAGAAGAGGCTTAAGAACTAAAATAGAAAAAAGAAGTCTTGCATTGAATGAAGTAAGTTTTTTTGAATAAATATTATACAAAAAAAATGTAATGTTTATTATTAGTACTTTTATTATAATATTATATTAGATTTTACTATACTCTGTCCCACAAGAGAACATGCCTTGGCCCGACCATAATTGGTTTTTCTACACATCCCCATGCGACCTGTTATCCTGACCTGATATCCTGCCATAGGGGAACCTGTTTTGATAGCAGTGTAACGTGGAGGGATGCGCATAACCGGCATTTTCTCTCGTGGGATAGAGTAGATAATAGAATAATATGTTACATTACAGTGGTCCCCAACCTTTTCTAACAAGTGACCTACATTAAAATGTTTAAGTATCTGGTGATCGACTACTTTTTATTTCGGTATATGTCTCTTTTATAATTTAATCATCGAAAAATAGTATTTTTATCTTCGCTAATAAATACTTTAATTTGTATGTAAAGCGTTCAAACATGTTTTTAATTATGTCATGATTGACCGATATTGGTATAAATTTTATTACAATCGACCAATATTCCTATAAAGTTTGACCATTCTAGCAATCAATTGATTGGCAACCTATATTTATAAGTATATCATATATGTTTACCCAGATGTTTACCTATTACCTAATTTTTTTTCTAAAAGATCATAATATTATAATATACTATAAAATATGTACCTACTTATACAATTTATGTATTAATTTATCACTCATATATTTAAGGTATTATTATTGTACTTACTGTTTTCTTAATATTTTATTATTTTTAGAATTTTTTGGCATCTTTTGAAAAAGTGAAAAATGCTGTAAATGCTTTACACGACAATGTGAATTCTTTAAATGCATCTGTCATGTCTATGTCATCCCAATTGAAAGATACTAAAGCAGACACTCAGAACTTGATTGAACTCACAAAACGATTACAACTCGAAAGGTACGTCTCATAGAAAAGTCAGTATTTATATTTGAATTTAGTAATTTATTTATTTATTATTTAAAACCATTTCTAAACATTATTTCATTTTTTTTTTTTTTTAGGAAAAGTGTGTCCAACCAGCAATTATTGGCAGATGCTTATGTGAAAACATTCCAGTTGAATTCTTCTGAAGTGGCTTGTCTTCGATCTAACAATGTCACTCCTGAATTTTTTACAGCTCTACGCAAAACCCAAAATATTAGTAATAATTGTAAAGTGCTTATGCAAGCTGGTCATCAAACATCAGCACTTAGTTTGATGGAACAGATTTCTACCTACCAGGTAATATTTATTTTTGAATAATATTATCATGAACTAACACTTAATCTTGAGTTGGTGGTAGAGGGTTACAGACTGGATTCAATATGATAAGCAGTTAAAATTATAACAAAATACTAATGGAGACTTAAGAGTGTTGTCTCCGTCTTACAAACGCGTAACATACCAAATGTCCTCTCAGTAGTTCATGTTTTAAGCCGTTAGCTTAAAAAAACAGTGATCAACTTATTATGAAACTTGATGGTAAGAACATTATCTGTTGTTTAATGGAATTTTTTTTACGATAATAAAATTCAGTTTTTAAGTGAGTTATGATCATTTTTAATTTACATTTATTATACACGCATAACTCACCTAAAAACTGAATTATTGTAAAAAAAAACTTCCATCTAAACATAGATAATGTTCTTACCGTCAGGTTTCATAATAATATGTCGTTTCACTCTCATTTTTAAGCTAACAGCATAAAACGTGAACTGCTGAGCGTAAATTTGGTATGTTACGCGTTTGTAAGACGGAGACAACATATGCGAGTGTGGCATCCTCTTAAAATATATATTAAATCAAAAAACAAACAATAAATATAGGTACTATGTTATATTTATATTTACACTTGTTAAGTATTGCATTAATATTGTAGGAAATGGCGATGGATGTATTATATAGATGGAGCCAATTGTACTGTAAAGACATTGAGTCCACAGTTACTGGTCCTCTACTCGTATTTGCCATGGAAGTGTTGCAAGACCGACCAGTATTATTTAAGTAAGTCTTAACCCTGAGTCCTAATTCAGGATGTGTAAAAAGAATTCTTATTCTCTCAAGTAATATAATATTTATTACAATTGTATCAGTTTCCACTGGGATTGCCTCTAATTTTTACCTTATAACAATATCACAGTTCTTATTACACATTTGTTTCATGTGTAATATATTTTTATGAATAAACTATAAAGTATTCTTTTTTAGATATGTATTAGAAGAGTACTGTACAGTTAGACAATCTGTAGTCGCACAAAGATTCATAGATGCTCTGGCAGCAAACAGTTCAAATGATACTTCATTGAAAACGTATTCAAAAGACATACGGCAGTACATTAACAACATGTTATCATGGTTGATTGATCATGTTCCAATTGAAAGGAAGTATCTTACATATCTGTTGAAAAACTGTGATAAATTAAGTAAGAATACTGTTATGCTTTCATTCTTGGTATATAATTTAATACAAAAAATGGAAAATATTTCTATACAATTTCATTATTGACGTAGATGTTGATGAAGAAATATCATTATGTATGAGTAGCATAACTGAAGGATTGTGCAGTCCTTTAGCATCACGTGTAGAGAGTGTACTGCATATGAATGAAAACCCAATTGACCTCTACGGTGTCGCTAGTTCACTGAAATTCTATCTTCAAATAGTAATTAAAGTAAGTTTTGCAAATAAACCTAACTTAATGACTTATAAGTTGCTGTAATTCATAAATCTTAATGATGAATGGCATGGCGGTCCAGCTTAACGAATAATCTGGATCTTTCCTGCATGCTCAGTCTTGGTTTGGGCCTTTCGATAAATAATACTTTTGGTTCATAATATTTTATGACAAATAAACTTTTTTTATAAATATAACTACAATATTATGTACAAATGTACAATATATTCCTACTAAAAATTAAATTGACCATGCATTAACAACAAGGAGCTTAACTTTACTATTAAATGTCAGATGTTATATAATTAAACTCTTTGAGTTTATCGTATTAATTAATTTGTTAGACATTTGTATTGCATTGATGTATGCCCGTATTTAACTATGAAATTATAAGTTTTAATTTATCACTGATAACTAGGAATCGGATTCTGTTTCCAAATAAACAAATTTATTTTTGGATTTTTTTATGTAAATGCTTTTTTGCAATCATTCCAATCCGTTGGATTTTAATGTTTATTATGCTATGGTAAAAAAAAATGTTATTTAATTGATAAAAAATTTAAAAATCAGGAATACAGACTAAATGGATTATTATTGTTTTCATTCATAGGCTTGATTATTAAATGTATTAAACATAATGTTATCGGCGATAGCGTATCATCTACAGACCTGTAATTATTAGCAAAATAGAAGGTTGTTAATACTTTTAGATTCTGAGCGGAGCGATGAATGTATTGGTTTTACAATGATGTATGTTTTTATATTTTTATATTTTTATTTATATTTTTGTGTCTGTCATCACGTTTTGGGACAGTAAAAGTGCTTCGATTTTCTTCAATAGTACCTTTTCTGATAGGAAAGTGAATCTAGTTGGTACTTTGGGGGGTCAAAAGTAAACATTTTCCAGTAGTTTTCACAAGCGCCGGGAAAAACAACATAAAAATTAAGGAAAAACGGGAATTTTTACGCAAAATCGGTTTTCCAAAAAATCGATTTTGGTTTTTGGTGTAACTCTAAAAGAAATGAACGTATATACATGACATTTTCACTGGTTGTTTATATTTGCATTTTCTATACACGATAACATTTTCAAAATATTTTGATTTATTTTGAACTGTTTAGGGACATTTTCATTTTTCATTTTATTTTAGTTTTTTTTCTAGAAATATCAATAAAATTTTATTTGTTGGTTGCGAAAGCTTGAAAATTTAATAGAAGGCTCCTAATATGTTGTTTCAAAGGCAGATGAAAAATATTAAAAATCCTTAGTCACAATTTTTTTTTATAAGCATTTAGAGTTCAAAAATTGACAAAATATGGAAAAATCACGAAAATTAGCAAATTATTTTGAGTTAAGAATTCGTAAAAATTTTTCTTTTTAAATCTAAGATTTGAAAATGAAACACAAGATTCCTTATAAGATTATCTACCTTTATCAATAAAAAAATCTCTACCGGACAGTCAAATTAAATTTTTATGAGCGTTTGAAATTCAAATTTTTACAACATTGGATTTTCACTCGATTTCTCATGTAGCGATTTCCTTATTTTGTTGTAATTCAAAAACGAATAACTGTAGATACATGAAAATTTCACTGAATGTTTATATTAGCATTTCATATACACCATACAATTTTGAAAATATTTTGACTCTTTTTGAGCTGTTTATGGACATTTACAGCTTTCAATTTTTTTTAGTTTTTTTTCTATAAATATCAATAAAGTTTTATCTGTTGGGCCAAAAAGTGTAAAAATTTAATACAAGGCTCCTGATATATTGTTACAATATCAGTTGAAAAATATTAAAAATACATAGGCACGATTTTTTTTTATAAGCATTTAAAGTTGGAATTTTGACAAAATTTATCAAAATCTCGAAAATTATCAATCGTTGGAATTAAAAAATTATAAAATGTTCAGTTTTTATAACTAAGAGTTGAAAATTTAAAACAAAGATTCTCTTAAATAATTCATACTGTAACCAAAAAATCTAAAAAATATATAAACACACTTATTTTTTACAGACATTTTAATTTCAAATTTAGACAAAATTTCATATTTAAACCAAGAATTACGATTTTAGTTATTTTGTTGTGATTGAATAATACTATTCGTGGGTACTTGAAACTTCTAAAGTGTACTATTATATATCTATGATAGTATCACGGTTTTTGTTGATGTATAACGCGTTATAAGTATCTAATGGATATTGTGATATGATTAATTTTGGTATTTATTATAGGTACCTACTCGTATTATAGGTCAATTTTTTTTTTAATACCATAGAAATGTATATAATATGTGTTAAACCTATACTGACTACCGTCTCCACTCAGAATCGTTTTTCTTATACAATGATATTGAATCATTGAATTCAAATTTAATACCATCCATTATACAGTGACCCACTTGTAACCTACTGTACAGCAGAGCGACACCCACTTGCCCACCTTTTTTTAATTTAAATTCATTTTTCAATATTTTTATTTTTTTTTATACCTATATAGGTTAAGTTAATTTTTGTTCATGGTTTTTTTTTAAATAAATATGCTTATTTTGATTTGTTCCAACCACGGATCGAAACCGGTTTAACTGGTTTTTTTTGTAAAACCTGTTAAAACCGCTGTTTTTTTCATATTTCAAAACCAAAACCAAAAGCTTTAAAACACCGGTTAATAAACCGTAACTGAAACCTAAAATCTTAAAAAACTGTTTAGAAAACCTAAACCGAAACCATCAATATTGAAAAACTGTTCTTGAAACCGATTGAAATTTTAAACTCATATCGGTTTCTTCGAATTTTATAAAGTTAATTACCTACCTATATTATTTATAATTCTAGTTAAAACGATTATTTTTATGCGAAGAAAATATTTTGTTTGAATACCGATGATATAACTGATTATTACGAAACATTAATAGGTAATACAAATATTATTCTATTTACATTTTTTAATACCATTACTATACTCACTGATTCAAAATTATAATACAAATATCACAATAATTGTATATATAGGGGCTATGCACGTCTGTATTCTTGCTATTTGTTGTATTTGTGTATATTATTATTTATTAATGTTATTACTATTTTTTCGTATTCGACTGGTCCGCGTCCGTCCCGCAGTCATCAATTGCTTATGTCATTATTATCATTTTCCTCAGAATCCTCTGAATTAGAAATGTGTGTACCAAATCTTATAACGTATATTTGAATCTTAACAGTAAACCTTTTTAAATAACAATATTTTCAATAGTCCAATACTCTTTTTTTTATCTATTTAAATTAATATTTTGTTCAAATATCATAAACATTAATCACATAAGAAGAGTTTAATTAAACTGTAATATAGTGTAATGTTATTGTAAATTACAATTAAATATTAATATAATCGAATAATGATCTCAACCATATGTTGTATGGTGTATGCAAAAGTAGGTTTAACATATTTAAGTTAACAACACAAAATTAGTTCTGCTGAACTTAAATTTGCTATATTGTATGTACCTACACTAGTTATACAAATCGGACATATTTTAGGGCTTTCAGCCCTAAATAGTAAATAGACAGTAAAAATCGGGTCTGCAGTTATTCAGTATAGAAAAAAAATTATCAAAAACCAAAACCGAAAATTTTCAATTACCGTTCTTGATACCGATAAATTTTAAAAACCTTTTTTGAAACCGAAACCTAAACCAAAAAATTTGAAAAACCGATCTTAGAACCTAAACCAAAACCATAAAATGAAGAAAACCGTTTTCAAAAACCAAAACCGTAACCATTAAAATTTGAAACTGTTTCGATCCCCGGTTCTAACAATATAATGCTTTTTTTGTTATTAATTGTGCTTTAAATTCTGAGCCCTACTTATAATGTATTATTATATACTGCTTTTGATACTGTATTGTTTGAGGCCAAATGTGCAATAGAATATCAATTGTTGGTACATAAGTACCGTACAAAATTAGTGTTACTAAAGAAAAATTAAAAAATGTTTATTGTGGGCCACTTAATTTGTTTACTTTATTTCTTGGATTTGAAAAAATATGACCTATTCTGACAGTACTAAGTTATATTTTATTGATTTGTAATTTTAAATCTAATCTTATAAGAACGTATACAGTAGTATGTGGTAAGTATCATAAGTACTGGTCAGTGGTGTCTGATCGTAAATGTTTCAACGCCAGTTTTGTTTTAGTGGTACGATAACAGGCCAGTACTGTATTATGTTTTTCTTCAATTACATTTAAGCCATACAATTTTGTTAATCAAATGAAAATGTTGGTTTCAGACAGTTCCCTCTGGACAACTGTGTCAAACAATTGAAGAATTACATAAAACTATGGAATGTGTGTTTTTAAACAAACTTCAAAACTTAGTACGGGATACTCTTTTGGAACGTATTGAAGCACCACCATTAGATTTGTCCCCTTCACCTGGTATTGGACATTTATTAAATATCCTCAGGCAAGTGTTGTCAGTGGCTGCAGTTACTGAAGACAAACAAGAAGATACGTCAATGGTATGATGGATACAAATCAATACTGTGAATTTAATGTTAAACTTTAATTATTTTGGTTTTAGATAGTATCTTGCGTTTTGGAACCATTACTTCAAGCAATCAATTTAAGTGCTTCGCGACTAACCCCCTTAGACATGGCCGTTTACCATCTCAATTGCTTGTATGACATACATGAGACACTAAGGCAGTACCAGTATGTTGAAGACAAACTTGAAAAATTACAGGTGTGTTAACCAACATTAGATAGTAGTTATATTTTAGCACAACATTGTTTTTATATTGTTAATCATGCTTCTAGGTTCAAATGGCTGTGCAAATAGAAATTGTGTCTGCTGAACAAGCAAACTATCTTGTCACACATTTAAATCTTGAGGAAATTCAAACCATTTTACAAGGTCATGGAGCAAATATTCCACTGTCTCAGATCCAAGGGATGGAAGCTGAAAATTTGATAAATTTTTTGGTAATTGCTCATGATTAATCATCAATCAATATAATATTGTGTAATTTGTGTAACCCTAAATATATAATGAAGATTATGTCATGCTAAACTTAAGTGTCACTAGACAGTAGACACATTAACTCGGGTTCACACATAAAACAGTAATTGGGTTTTTAAAATCAATTTAGATTGTCCTGTCTGATGGGAAAGTTAAATTTTTGTTTTTGTTTTTATAATGTAAACCTATAAATTGAGTTCAATTAATCTCTGATATTATTCTCTGTCTGGCAAAAAAACATAGAATGAACAAAAAATGTTTTCTTCTATTTATCCCCCTGCAACACCCTGCCATAGTGGAACCAGGCTCGATAGCAGAGTATTACATTGGGATTCCCAGAATCAGCATAATATATTGATGGTTAGAAGGTAAAAGGGTAAAATTTCAAAATTGTTGGGGAAAGCCGAAAAACATATATTTTCACATAAACTGTGTTACAACCCTGGAACAAATCGTTTTGAGACTTAATATGGGATATAATGACTTTTCAAGAGTTTTTTATTGATTAATTGTTCATAATAATAATATATTTGTATATTTAAAGCCAAATTTTTAAAAAATTACTTTTACGCCTCTTTTTTTCTGAGCCTGGCACTTACACCCCAAAGATGTTGTATTGAATACAAGGCCTTTCAAAGTCTAATATTGTTATTTTTTTATATGATTAATTAAATCCAATAAAGATTTGTACTAAAAGTATTTAAAAAAATGAAAATATAAGAACTATTATGTGAAAATAATTATTTTAGAATTAATAATATTCCTATTTAATAAAATCTTCATAAAAATACACAAATAAACTTCAGTACATACTTAGTAAATTATTAAAACTAAATATTAGCTAGATATGTACCTGGGCTCCAATTTATTTTTAAAAATTTTTCTTGTACCTAAGATAATTATAATAATGAAAATACAATGCACTAAGTTCTGGTACCAACGTCAGTTAAGTAAAATAAGTACTTATTCTATTATTATATTTTTTTATTCTCTAGTTTTTAAGTTTCATTAAAAATATAGATGTATTGTAATTACTTATTTCTTTTTAAGTAGTAATATGCTATATAAATTGATATAACCATCAACAATGACGCTTACGTTTTATTAGATTTCCTTGAATGTCGTTTACGTCTTTTACTTGACGTTTAAACCCAATTTTTCATTCCCTCCAATTCTATGCTGTTTACGTCCACATGTTAAATCATTGATTATTAAATATTAACTAATTTTATCAATGTTTAGGTTAGATTAATAGATGTATAATTATGCCGTTTATGACAATATGCAAAAACATTGATTTTGAAAAAAGTGCCGCCTTCGCCCTTTTACCTTCTAACCATCGATATGCTAATCTTACATAATCTTCTTTACAAATTAAGAGTTACCAAAACGTATTAGTTGTCTGTTTAATAATATTAATTGTTGCAGAGTAAATTGGAAAGCATGCTAGTCATGCCTCATACTGTTGCGGTACCGCAAATTGGTTGTCTGAAAAATCCTTTACATTTAAGTAAGGTTAGGCGGCAATCTAATGAAGTGATTTCTGCTGTTTATAAACAACTATACGAACATGTACATAATCCAACTAATGAATATGATAACCCATCAGCATTGATGTCTAGAACGCCGGATCTCGTGTATCAGTTATTAGTCAACGATGAAAATCCATTGTGAAATCAATCTGTGTGTAAAATATGAATCAATTCAATCTTAAAATAAAATATTAAATAACACTGTAATCGCAAGTCAATCGTTTATTTATTTACAAATAAGAAAGAAATATTACAGTATTAAAATTAACTTATAAAAAATAAAAATACAATATTATTTCTCTAGCAATGTACCACGAGCATGTCTTTTTATGTCCAATGCTATTTCTGGTTCTACAAAATCTGCCGTTTTACGTTTATGCATGCCTTTCCTCTCTAGCTGCTTTTCAATTATACGTGCATTGTTTGCATATGAATCTGCTACTTCCCTCTATTTACAAAAGAACATATTTATAGCGTCAAATATTACAACATAATATTTAATATTATAATGAACAATAATATATGATGCACAATGACTTACCGCTTCAATTTCGTCTTCTTCTTCGTCAATAGTAGATACTGTCACCGAACTGAACTTGCCCATATTCTTAGTGTGCTTGGTGACCATAATTTTCTTTGGTTTTTCAACAGCCACTTGATTATAGATATCCATTTTAGGACCCTCACCAGTACATTTAATCAAAGCCCCGTGTACAATAAAATAAACATTATTATTGGCCTGGTGTTTATAGTACAAAAATAAACCGCATCTGTAAAATAACATTGAATTGGTAATTATTGATATAGGTAGGTACTTAAGATAATTAAGGTTCACAAACTTTTTGCACTTTAATCTATGTTGTTTTTCAACACCTTCTTGTCGTTTCAAGTAAACAGTTTCGTCTTGATCGTAGGTCATTTTATTGGCATGCTTAGAGCCATCAATTACTCGGGCCCCATCCCGTTTGCGTAGAGGTAGTTTTTCCAAAGCACAATCTGAAATCATTAAACATTAGTATTCAGTATCATCAGTGGCGCAATGGTGGAGGATAGTTAATTATACGCGGCGATCTTGTTGAAGCATTCTAGAAAAACCGATTATAATTGCATAAAGCTATAAAACCTAAAACAGTTGATCGTTTAGGACTGAATTGAAACCTCACAAAAAATTATAAATTTTAACTCTCACTTACCCAAAATTAACGTCATCTGACCGCACAAACAGTAATACGAGTGCAGCGGCTTCTCCTCGTTATATTCTTCTTGGTCTTTGGTGTCCGAACACACTATACTGCGAGAAACCACTTTTGGCATTTTAGAATGTTAAACCAACATTTACCCGATAAACGTAATAATAAATTATGAAATACTTTATTTAAACAACTTCTCGTCCTGTGAACTCACTAGTCTACTGAGTACAGAGTATGACTACTGAGTAGTGAGTACTAATTACTAACTGACTAATGAGTAATGAGTTATTACACACGTAAATACTATATAATGTAAAATGTAGATATTATGGTAAATGGTTCGTACTGTTAGTAGTTTGTACGGCGGGTCACTGATAGATTAGTGGAGGAGTCGGTAGGTATGTTTAGTGCTTAGATCATATATGATCATATATGATCTAAGGTTTAGTGATCACGATTAAGATAATAAGATATACTAAACAGTTAGTATAGAAGTCTGTGTAAACAGTAAACATACGATATCTTAAATCGTGTTAGTGATATGAATAGATATCTATTATCTATTAACCATGACCAAAATACCGAGGTGGATTCAATCCACCGGTAATATACCAAAGATCTTATCACAAATCGTAAGAAAAACATAGATAACATAGTTCACTTTATCTGTTATCACCAGCATGAATCACCGAGTAATTTACTCAACTTCACAGTTCACATCTTCGAATTCGAAATTCACAATCGTTTAGTATTAAAAATTTGAATTCTATAAAATATGCCAAGTCGATTACAATTAATATTTGTTTCATTCTCTGCTTAAGACGCTTAGGTATCGATTTACACGAATTTGAGAATGGCTGTATTACAAGACAACATAAATAACAAAAACATGCCGGATCATATCTTAGTGTTAAATCGAATTGACATTAATAATATACTTAATTTACCTCTGAAAACCACACAAAGAATAAAAGTCAGTAATAGTTATTTTAATTATTATGTGATTAATTTTTTTTCAATTTTTTTTTTTGCTTTAGTATACTTGTTTTGAAGTATCTCAAAACTTTATCATTTTTGGGGCTTCCAGTGGTGGATTGTATGTATTTCGCAGACAACCTTGTGAGTTTATACAACTTCTTCCAAATAAAGTGAGTGCTCGTGTTACCAAGAGGATAACAGTCCAATAAAAAATATATTTTAAAGAAGTACACCTTTTAAAGGAAGCTAGTATTTTAATCTTATAATGATATAATTTTACTTAATAGTTAATATAAACTTATAAATTAATGTAAAGGAAGGATCTGTCACTCAAATTGCTGTATCCAAAGATGAAGAGCTCATTGCTTTTGGAACACAAAAAGGCATTGTGTGTATATTGCAAAGAAATGAAAATGGGGTTGGTGCTAAGTTGATAAATAAGTCTACTGAACATTTAGGACATGAAATCACTACTATGGAATGGACTTCAAAGAATCAAATATATTTTGGTGATTGCAATGGAAAAGTCACTTCAATATATGTATCATTATTTGTTGTAAGTATAAATTCATATTGAATATTTAATTATATATATGGCTTAAGCTTTAAGCAATGAAACCATATAATTAAAAATGCATTGTAATACATTTTCTATATTTCACTCATTTAACAAAAAATATTTTTCAGCGAAAGGCCATTTTCCAAACCCCGCCATACACTATGATTGAACTGGATTCAAAAGTAATTCAAATTGATAGCGCTGACGATATATTAGTAATCTCGACATTGACAAGATGTTATGTTTGTGATATGTCCAAAGAACAATTTAAACAAATTGGTCAAAAACCTAGGGATGGCGATTATGGTTGCTGTATTGTTGCTTGGAATGAGAAAAAAATCTTTTCTGCAAGACCAGGTTCAAGGATTTGGGAAGCAGAGTTAAATGGTATTGTAAAAAGTACACATCAACTGAAATACTGCTTAGCCATTCCGCCAACGCTTAATGTTTCTGCACAAAAACCATTTGATTTATCAAGAATTTCTGGGAAAAATTGGCCACCACAATCTCTGAATTTTAAAAAACTGTATACAATTTGGGAAAATTGCTTACTTACATATACATCAAATAGTATATTTATACTGGATATGTTAAAAGTTAATGTTCTATTATGGTGTGACGGATATAATAATATACAAAATGTCAAGTGCATTGAAGATACTGTATATATATGGTCTTCAAATGGCGAGCTTATTGCTGAAAAAATCACTCCCCTTCAAAATTATTTAGTTAATTGTTATGAGTGTGAAGATTACAATACCTGCATTTCATTGATAGAACATTATTATGATAGAATAGTAAATACAAAATGCATTATTGATGAGTTGTATCCACTAGTCAACTTAGATCAAAAGATAGACTTGCCAGTTAATACAAACAATTTGATCTCAAAAATTAAAAAAACTTATTATTTAAAACATCAATTTTTTAAGTTACCGTCTGGAATTTACTCTCTAAAGAACTATGTATATGTTAAAAAAAATTATAGATTACAAAGAAGTTATAGTTTAATTTCCATTCAGTCTGATAGACCTGTATTACGGTATAAGTCTATGCTAAATATACATATAAATCTAGAAAAAGTTAAAAAGTCTGAACAGTATCCCTCTATTGATTATTCTAAGTTAAACAATAAACAAGTTTTTGATCAGATGTATATGGAGTTGAATATTCCTTCAATTCCATTTGTTTCATTGGCTACTTCTGAGGTATTTCACGATACTCTAATGGAAATAGGATCAAATGTTACCAATAAAATTGCAAAGAGTAGTAAAACTCTTAAAGATACATTAAATAATCTAACTGCTAGTACAGGTAAAAATGATTTGGTTCCATATGAAATATCAAATACTATTAATCGACCAGAGCCACTGCCTATCGATGAGAACGAAGTAGATGTTTCCAATTATAAGTTGGACCTTGAACATCGTGAAAAGCTCAATCTACTTCCTATTTTAAAAATATGTAAAAAACTTCAAAATGGATATAAATTAGATGTAGACTGTTTACAACAATTATGTAATGGTGTATGTGAAGTGAAATCTAATTTGGAAAATGTTTTACAAGTAAAACAACCAATGTTCCCATTCCAACAGTATTTGAAAGAAAAACATTTGAATACTATTAAGAAAGCATTAAATGATAGTTTTATGAGCAATTTAGTAGCAAAATGGGCTGATATTCATACAAAAGATGTTTTGATTGTTAATAAATTCAACTACCCAGAATTTCTGACTTACTATTTAGATGAAAATGATTTTAAAATAGATACGGAAATCAGTGAATTAATCACATTATTTGGTCAAGTTATGGAAGTGGGAAGTATTTTTCATTTTTTGATGAATGGTAACTTAAAATGTTCCTATGCAATATTTTGTAAGATTTTGAAAATGAGCTCTAATAATGATGGAAAGACCGAAGAACCATTATTAATGTACTTAAATTCAATGTATGTATTTTTGAAATTGGACCAAATCGAATCATTTCGTATACTTGGATACAAAAGAAACATCAAACCAATATTTGTATTTTATTTATTAATGAAGTTTTCAGTTCATTTAGAGTCAAATAATCTCAAAAAATGCAATACAATATTTTTGTCTTACTTGTCACACTTTGATAAAAATATTTTTAGTGATTGTAACATTCTGTATTATGCTGTTTATAGTTTGGTGATACTAAATAATCAGAAAAACCATTTATGTAAATGTGGATTTCCTTTAGATAATATTGATGGTAAATTCAAAAAGCTTGGAAAAATACTTATTGATTATTTGTCTAGTGCTGATATAAATTTGGAACAGTTACATATAATTTTACATACATTTGTAAAATGTGATGTACCCACAAATTCTCTAGAAGATGTAATAAAATGTTTTTGTAAACAAGTACCTCATTTTTGGCCTGTTGTTTTAAAATCAGACTTAAATCTAAATAGTTCGAAGCATACAAAAGTTATGCTTGCTATCCATTTGGGTTTGGTGGATCAGTTAGACATTCATTTGATCAACAAAAATGAATTATTGTTTGACAAAATTTTCACATTAAATCATTACTTTAAAAATGGGCTTTGTTTGAATTGTGGCAATATTGGTGAAAAAAATCAAGGAATTGCGTGGACTGATTTAACGTCTTTGGCATTTCAATATTTAAGTCACGAAGAAATTAGAAGTTTACTCTTCAAGCATAAAAACAATATACCATGCGGAGATATTGATAATTGGTAATTATTAATAATATCATTGATTATAAATAATATTAATATATTATATTGAAATTGACATATAATCAGATTTTTATTATTTTAGGTTTTATCAGAGTTTTATTTTGACTCAGTTGGTTGGTTTAAACTCAAAGAAAGCTCTGATCACTACACTACAACATCATAATAATATATCGATGATTGGCGCGGAGGTAAGGGTCAACATTTTCCAAAGAATCCTTCAGAATGATATTTTATTTTATAGTTTGTTTCTTGATAGAATTGTAAAAATACGTTAACAACTTTGGAAGAAGAAATGAGTGGAACTATTCAGCTCAAAAATCAATATTCAAAAAAATCACATTGGGGTACACAAATTGATTTAAAGAATGAAAATTGTATTTGGTGTTCGTTACCATTAAACTCTGATCCTTTAATTCGAGGTAAAAATAATGGACTCATATCGTTTAAATGTGGGCACTCTTTTCATACTGTATGTATTCGTCATCAAACTGATAATATTCAATGCATTGTATGTCAGAGAAAAAACTAATTATGTTGGAGTATAGGAATAAGAAAAATGTTTTTTTTATATAACTTAAAAATACTTATGTGTTATATAAATATCCTTTGTTTATGAAATTATTAAGTTTTGAAAATACAATGTTTAAGTACTCGTTATTTCTAAGATTATTGATTTGGTTCATAGTGATAATAAAATGTTCATAATTTATCCTAACATAAAGATATCTTAGGCTTAAAAAAATGTGATTATTTTATTTTTATTACTCAGAATATTATGTTATATAACTGATCTATAATGTTAACATTTTTTAATAATTATGTTTTTTTAATAAAAGCTATATTTTTGTTACATGCCCATACAATCATATCAAATCAACCATCAAATCATCAAACTACACCAATATTTGATTAAATTTATTTTATATTGATCATACTTTTATCTGTCAGTTCTGGTAAATATTTACTTGGTTTCACTCATCAATATTGTATTGTATTCAATATGCTATAAGAACATATGTATGTCAATTATTGGAAATAGCATATTATACCCCAGACAATCTAGGCTTTTAGTTAACAAGAAGAGTTATGGGAGCAATAAAATATGGAAGCTTTTTTTTTTTACTATCAAAGGTAATGTACTATATTATGTTAGAATAGTAAACCTTTTATGTATTATTGTTTCATAAATGTTACTCAAGAGTCAAGACCTAATTGTACTAAAGTTTTTAATTAGACCAAACAAATATTTAAAACGTTCACACACATTTTCTATAAATCTATATGTTATAGCTTTATTGTAAAATTTGGTTAGAAAGGTTCGCTCTGTGCAGATCTTTAAATAGGTAGCTATGATTAATGGCAAAAGATGACTGAAAAGGAGTTTTCTTCTGTTCAAAGAAACTTCATTATTTTATTATATTAGATACAAATGATACAATATTGTATGTACTAACTATATATAGTTAATACGTAATAAGTTATAAGTAGGTATTTTTAAAGTGCACTTAACATTTCCTCTTCTAATTTTGTTGACTCTTATTGAACAAAAAGGTATTTTCCACTATTAAGGAAGTAGAGTCGGGTGAAGCTAATTTATAAATCAGGTAACCGGAGTCTGGATAAAATTATCGTCGAATTTCTTCAATCTAGACTTTAATAATATCTGGTGTGTGTAGGTAATGAACAGGTTTTTTTATTATTTTCCCTGAAATTAAATTATTTATATTAAATTTAAAAAAAAAAGAGTTGATACTGGGAAATAGAGAGAACGGGTGTGCTACTGCTGTAAGTGTGGACTAAAAAATAAAAAGTTGCTCTGCTGTACAGTAGGTTTAAAGTGGGTCACTGTATAATGGATGGTATTAATTTTGAATTCAATGATTTAAGATCATTGTATAAGAAAAACGATTCTGAGCGGAGACGGTACCTATGTCAGTCCACGTATAAGACATATTTATACTTATCTATGGTATTAAAAAAAAATTATACCTATATTAAATTCCAAATTAATCATATCACAATATTATCCATTAAGTACTTATAACGTGTTATACATCAACAACAAACTCTGATCTATAATAGAAATATAATAGTATACCTACCTACTTTATTAGTTTCTGTAATACCTATAGGTAATAGGTAAATATAATAAATTCCAAATTAATCATATCACAATATCCATTAGGTGGTATAGTGTATAGGAAATGCTAATATAAACATTCAGTGAAATTTTCATGTAGATACAGTTATTCGTTTTTGAATTACAACAAAATAAGGAAATCGTGTGAATATCCAATGTTGTAAAAATTTGAATTTCAAAAGCTCATAAAAATTTAATTTGACTTCTTATACACATTTTTTTTTTTTGTTAAAGGTAGGTAGATATTCTTATAAGGAATCTTATATTGCATTTTAAAATCTTAGATTTAAAAAGAAAAATTTTTATTTATTCTTAACTCAAAATAATTTGATAATTTTCTTGATTTTTCCATATTTTGTCAATTTTTGAACTTTAAATGCTTATAAAAAAAAAATTGTGACTAAGGATTTTTAATATTTTTCAACTGCTTTGTAACAGTATATCAGGAGCCTTACATTACATTTTCACTCTTTTTTACCCAACAAATAAAATTTTATTGATATTTATAGAAGAAAAAATTAAAATATTGAAAACTGACAATGTCTATTAACAGCTCAAAAAGAGTTAAATTATTTGGAAAATGGTATGGTGTATAGAAAATGCATGTATAAACATTCACTTAAAATTTTATTTATCTACGGTCATTTGTTTTTAAGTTGCACAAAAAACCAAAATCTGTTTTTTCGAAAGCAGATTTTGAGTACAAATTCCAGTTTTTCCTTAATTTTTCTTTTGTTTTTCATGGTGCTTTTGAAAACTACTTTAAAAATTATACTTTTGACCTCCCAAAGTACCAACTAGATTCACTTTCCTACCAGAAAAAATACTGTAGAAGAAAATCCAAACACTTTTACTGTCCTAAAAGATGACAGACACAAAAATAAAAAAACACACATCATTGTAAAATCAATAAATTCATCGTTCCACTCAGAATCTAAAATATATTGTACCCCAGATATTTTGATCTGGAACTTATGAACCTAATTATACACAGTTGGCCTCAAATTAGTGATTCATAAATAAAAAGTAATGTCTTTTTCCAAAAGCCACCCCATTGTTCAATATATGATTATTTTATTGATATCTTGATATTACAACGAATAAATCAAGTTGAGGATTTTGATTTGATTTTTGCTCCGACATTATCCATTGATTGGAATAGGTACCATCTTGGATTATCATCTTCAATTTTTATCAAAGCTATTTTTATCGTAAAGTTAATTATTGTAGGGATATTGTTAAAACAACCGTAAAGAACTAAAAAAAATTCAGCTAAAATCCAAGATGGCGGATACTTGCAGACCTCGGAGGGATGGCACATTTTTTTTGGTCAATGACTGTCCCAAGACGAAACTTTTTACCACGTTTAAACTTAAGTATTTTTTGCAAGGCAACGCCTTTTTTTATTTTTGGAACCTTATTAACTGGACTAAAATGGCACTTGATTTATCTACACTGTGTAAAATAACTTATTATAATATATAGTTATAAACTTATAAATTATGACTGATATTATATAGAAGACGTGATACTCGCAAGTGTTGTCTACTTGTCTCATTCTTACAAGTGCGTAACATAGCAAATTTATTTACGATCAGCAAGATGTAGAACGTAGAACGTTACTTAAAAATTAAAGTGAATTAACCTCTTATAAAATTGAAAGGTAAGATCTGGGCATCATTATATGTTTTTAATATATTTTAAATATAAAGCGAGTTATGAGGATTTTAAGATGTTCAAACAATTTACAATTTTAATTCATATGCCTTGCTTTAAAATTAAAATATAATAAAAATCATATGATATTGCCTAGATAATAATCTTACTTTTAAATTTTAATAAGAAGTCAATTAACTCTATTTTTTTAACTATCGGAGCTACACGTGTATAGGTACAACTGTACAAGCCGTGGCTGAGCGTACAATTCATAATGTTACGGATTTGTAAGACGGAGACAACAGTACAACTCATGCGAGTATCACATCTTCTTAAGAGGATGTCAGCTTACTATTATTGTTTTCTCTCTGGTCCACGCGCAACATAGACAAAACTCATTTACGCAGAATCATTTTTTCTGTTTTTAAGTAATCTTAGAATAAAATCACCCATAACAAAAAAGATAGAGAATAATATTTTTGAAGGAATGATCTTATCGATTTGTCTAAGTATTGTCTCAAAACATTTTTAACATAATTGAAATTTACAAAAATGTTTTGTTTATTTTGAAATTCGAATACAAAATCAAATAACAATAAAATATAAAATATAAAATCGATATATAATTCCCTCAAAAATATTATTCTCTATCTTTTTTGAAATCGGTGATTGTACTCTAAGATTAGGTACTTAAAAACATAGAAAAATCAAAAAATGATTGAGAGAGAGAAAACAAATAGCTAGTGCGCTGACTCTTAAACCTCTTAAGTGGTTTGGGATCTTGCTTGGTTTACTCACCCGGCCGGTGTTAGCCTGGTACATAAAGGGCCCCGGACCATTTTAGGGAATAAAATAAACCTCAGATAATGAGTATAATAAGCTAATTATTACATTACCAATTGAAATTATACATAACGGATTTCAGTTTTGTGCTTACGCGTGTTTAATACCTATTATCTATAGTTGCTGTATAATATTATTTAATTTTAGTTAAATTTAATAATGAATATATAATTACAAAGATATTGGAAAGCGTGGTCGTCATCAACATTATATTAAGTACCTATCTATATCAGCAAATCAAATAAACTTTTTATAAAGAATTCTAACACTAATAAGCATATATAGGCGTGCGTAGCCCGTTGTGGCAGAGTGGGCCAATGATAGGTACTTGAAACAAATTATTTTAAACACTGATATCTATCTATAGTCTATAGAATAACATTCATTTACTCACCGGTCATCACCTATTGTTTAAATTTTAAGATATTGTAATAATATATATATTTTTATTCATAAGTAGGACTAGGATTTATATGCATTTGCATATTATTTTCCTTAAGTCCAAATTGATAGGTTGTGATATATGCCCACGATTTACCTTACCCTCGATTAAATAAAACCATTTTTCGTTTGTATATTTTATAGATTCAAGAGAATCTTGTTAATTTTTGTTGATATAAAAAATTAAAAATCAGAATCCTTGTACCACAGAATAAGGCAATACAACTATGTATATGATCTAAGGTTCCATATATATATAATAAGTATGTTACAGCTCGCAGGGAGGGTCACGCCTATGCTAATAGGCCTACCTATTAAGTTTGTTTAAATGGGAAAGACAATTTTACCACTCAAACGGTGGACGATAATCTCTATAAGTTTGTTCAGACGATGCCCATTTTTAAGGTCCTTATCATATTTTCCAACCTTCTCAAAGTCTTGGGTGTTATTTCGGCCTAATTACAGTTGCAAAACTATTTGTGGACAAGATTAGGCCATTTGCACTAGCCATCTTGGATAACATAGAAGAAAAATTCGGCGCACACAAACAACCCAAGGGAAGTAGAGAGCTGCTGAAATCTTCAGTCCTAAGATTAAAGTATTAACTGTTCAAAAGAATTTTTAGTGGATTAATTATATGTGATTATATTAATATTAATTATATATGATTATTATTAATTATATTAATATGATTTTGATAACCATGAGTATTATAAATGTAGTAAGGATAAAACAAATTATTTACAGATTCTTGCTGTGAATTGCCTTCAAAAAAATCCTACAGATTCGGTACAGTTTAATGGACAAAATGCAGGAGCACCTAATTCTTGGCCTGATCAACCAGTTCATCAAGAAATGTCAAATTATTATAATTCAATAAATCCTAACCTTCCACAAAATCCTTATTTGAATAACAATGATAATCAACAACACATTAATTATCAGCAACAATCGCCCATGTCTCAACCGTATAATGAGCCACACAACTTTAATACACCGCAACACTTTACTGCTCCGCAACACTTTACTGCACCACAACACTTTACTGCGCCACAACAATTGACACCCCAAGAACAAAACTATTTGCCACCAATACAACCACCAACAAACCATCAGATCCAACAAGTGAATACATTTCAGCCACCTTTAACGGGGACGCCTCAAATAGCACAAGCTAATCCAATGCTTCAAGATCAATCAAAAGCACCACAGTCCATACCAATAGGGCGATTCAACAGTGAACCCCTGCATCAACCACTGTTACTTCATAAACAACATACAAAATTGGACCAAAATGAGAACACCAAATTTAATCAGCCTGTAATAAATCAGGAAAATGAAAACCAACAATCACAGGTACCACAATCATACAATTTACACCCACCATCACAGGGTGGACAAGGAGAACCACAGTCTTTCGGAACAATGGAACCTTCGCCTCCAAAAAAAGACGAGAAACAATTACCTATAAGTTCAAATCAGCCAATATCTAAGGAATTACCAGATTTTGGTGAATTACCAGATTTTGGTGAATTACCAGATTTTGGCCAAGTTATAGATAACGCTAAAAACAATGAAAATAAACCAGTACAAGTCCCTTCAACAATAGTCCCACAGCTATCACAACAAACATCGTTTAGTTCTAAACCAGAAATTCCTAGTAATCAATTTTTACCACCCGAATCACCACTTCCATCACAAAATCAATTACAACCGTCTGATATACCATTAATCTCGTCTTTAAAACCATTAGATAAAGATTCTTCAACAACTGATAAAAATAATATGGAAAATAACAATGATGAGCCGTTTATTTTTAAAGCAGACTTTCCTAGTAATATATTACTTCCGCCAAAAGAAAATGAATTATATTTATCACACTCACCTCCTTCAATTATTCCTCCTAACTCAAGTAAATTACAACAGTCTCAAATGCCATTACAATCTTCTACAAAACCATTGGACAATGGTTCTTCTACGTCTCATAAAAATAATATGGATATTGAAGATGTTGGGTCGTTTAATTCTCAATCAAATCTACCTGATAATATAATTTTTACACCAAAATCACCTCTACCATCACAAAATCAATTAAATTTACCACTATCTTCTTCTTCAAATCCTCCTATCTCAAATCAATTACCATTGTCTCAAATTACATTACAATCTTCTTCAGAACTATTAAGTAAAGACACTTCAACACCTAATAAAAATAACATGGATATTGAAGGCGGTAAGCCATTTAATTCTCAATCAGGTGTTCCGAATGATACATTTGTTGGTCCAAAATTACCTCAATCAACACAAAATCAATTCAATTTACCACAATCTTCATCTTTAGAACTATTAGATAAAGGCCCTTCAACACCTAATAAAAATAATATGGAGATTGAAGATGGTGAGCCATTTAATTCTCAATCAGATGTTCCGAATGATACATTTGTTGGTCCAAAATTACCTCAATCAGCACAAAATCAATTCAATTTTCCACAATCTTCTTCTTCAAATCCCCCTATCTCCAATCAATTACCACTGTCTCAAATTCCATTAGAATCGTCTTCAGAATTATTAGATAAAGGTCCTCCAATGCCTAATATAAATACTATGCAGGATAAAAAAGACGGTGTGTCATTGAATTCTATACCAGGATTTCTGGATGATAAATCACAGCCACTTATTAGCAATGTTGTGCAAAATGAAAACATTTTGATAGATAATTCACAAACAGATATGCAAACATTTTTAAATCCTGAAAATAATGATAGCATGAATTCACTAAATAATGTTTCACCACAAGACCCTGACGTTATGATAATAGATCCACAACCAAATGATTTAATGAAAGATATGATTTTAAATGACGATACTAAAACGTTACAAAATGCATCGAACGATTTTCCATTGCCTACAAATGTTGTAGATACACAGCTGAATGAAGAAGCAAAATTTGAAGAAGCAATGTCTGAATTACCAGCTTTTCCATTTAATGAATATAATGAAGAAAGAAATGCATTGCATTCATTGGAAAATATAGTATTTGACGAACCTTTAGAGGAAGGACTATCGAAGTACGATAAATCATATATTGTAGACACGGAAAATCCGGAAAAAGTGAAACAGGACAACTCTAAAATAACTGTGTTCGCCAATCCTAATGATGTTCATATCCAGCAAATATCTCCTGAACAGTCACCAACTAGTGATTATAGTTATCCAAACAATAATTATTTATTGAATACGCCATCAACTGATATACCATGGTATAAACCCTCATTTCCAAATACAGTTGACTATGTTCAACAATCGTATTCGAATGCTAATAATAATCAACTAATTAGTTCATTATTAAATTTTAATCAAAATCCAATGTATCCGCCAACTAATAATTATTATAATCGACAAGACCCTTATTCCGCTTTTGGTCAAAATCAGATGATATCTAAGACACAATTACCTAGTTTGTCGCTAAATGCCAATCAACCAAGCTATAAGGATAATAGTGGATATATTTACAAGAAAGTAGATTTAAAGAATCCTCCTCCGAATGTTTCCAATTCATGGTTATTATTAAATAAAGATTACACAAAAAATCCTAACCAAAATAACGTGTATACAAATATCTTTGGAACAACTTCAATGCCTTACCAAAATAATATTCAGGGAATTTTAAATTCATCTTCAAACGATATGTTTGTACAAAATATGATGTCCGTAATTTCAAATTCGCTTCAGGCACCGTTGGTTGGGACAAAAGCAATATTTGACTTAACATATGCAAATTTCCCACGTGCATCAGTGAGTCATATTATTCGCTTAACACATGCTATCGTACGATCCGTGATGCTCAGTCTTCGGCAGACTTTGTACGTAAGTTGTTCGCCAAATTTTAGAATGAATTTATTGTTTACTTTTAAATGGTTTTGTTTTATACTCCAAAAATTTTAAGGGCCGTCGATCTAAACGAGATTTTAATCCTTCTGAGGCCTTGCATAAATTACCGGGAGCTCTGATTAACAAATACTCTCAACAATCTAAAACTGCGCCGACGGAAAATAATATGAATATGCCATACTATACTCAACCGGATGCAACAGGTATTCCCACAAAATAACAATTCATATATATACGTACAACCGTGTCTTCCACACAAATCAATTTACAACCGTTTTCTTCACAGGTCAACCACCGATGGCAGATTTTTCTGCAAGTCAACCAATGCTTCAGCAACAGCAAACTTACTACGATGGTGTAACCGACATGAATTATTACGGATCACAGTACAATAATAACAATAGATTCGCGCCGCAACCAGCGAACACTCAAAATTACGTTTTAAATTCTTTGGTCGATGCCATCACCTCTGCAATACGTTCAAATGTACCTGATCCTTACTCAATCGACACCCCGGAGGTAAAAGAATACACCCAGCAAGTGATCGTGACCGTTGAACTACTATACAAAAATCAGGTAAGAGGAAAAAAAGTCTCCAATGTTAATTTTTCAACATTTTTTATTAATTGTATACCCTCATTAACATTCCGTAAAACCTGAGTGTGTTGTACAATTACTTCATTGCTATGAGAAACTATACTGAACTAACTGCAGTTATTATCATAAAATAAAAAGGCGATAAACCAAAAATATATTGAACTTTTTAATTTTAATTTTAAATGTTTAGTGAAATTGTATTGACCACAAAAGTAGACCAAAATAACATTCAATTTAGTAATAATATAATAATATCAAAATAAAATTGTTTAAGTACCTACTGCATGTTGGTATTTCACATATAAAACAATTATAAAAAGGTGGGCAAGTGGGTGTCGCTCTACTGTACAGTAGGTTACAAGTGGGTCACTGTATAATGGATGATATTAAATTTGAATTCAACAATAGATATAATATCATTATAGAAAAAGTCGATTCTGAGCGGAGACGGTATGTCAGTCTAGGTGTAAGACATATTATATACCTACATATCTATAGTACTAAACCAAAATTTGACCTATAATAGGTACCTACCTATAATAAATTCCAAATTAATCATATCACAATATCCATTAGATACTTATAACGCGTTATACATCAACAAAAACCGTGATACTATCATATAAGATATATAATAGTACACTTTAGAAGTTTCAAGTACCCACGAATAATATTATTCAATCACAACAAAATAACTAAAATAGTTATTCTAGGTTTTTTAATATGTAATTTCGTCCAAATTTGAATTTAAAATGTCTGTAAAAAATAAGTGTGTTCATATATTTTTTAGATTTTTTGGTTATAGTATGAACTATTTATGAGAACCTTTGTGTTGAATTTGTAATCCTTAGCTATAAAAACTGAACATTTTATAATTTATTAATTACAATGATTGATAATTTTCGAGATTTTGATAAATTTTGTCAAAATTTGATCTTTAAATGTTTATAAAAAAAAACTGTGCCTATGTATTTTTAATATTTTTCAACTGCTATTGTAACAATATATCATGAGCCTTGTATTAAATTTTTACACTTTTTTTGCCCAACAGATAAAACTTTATTGATATTTATAGAAAAAAAAACTAAAAAAAATTGAAAGCTGTAAATGTCCATAAACAGCTCAAAAAGATTCAAAATATTTTCAAAATTGTATGGTGTATAGAAAATGCTAATTTAAACATTCAGTGAAATTTTCATGTATCTACAGTTGTTCGTTTTTTGAATTGCAACAAAATAAGGAAATCGCTACATGAGTAATCGAGTGAATATCCATTGTTGTAAAAATTTGAATTTCAAACGCTCATAAAAATTTAATTTGACTGTCCGGTACAGATTTTTTTATTGATAAAGGTAGATAATCTTATAAGGAATCTTGTGTTTCATTTTCAAATCTTAGATTTAAAAAGAAAAATTTTTACGAATTCTTAACTCAAAATAATTTGCTAATTTTCGTGATTTTTCCATATTTTGACAATTTTTGAACTTTAAATGCTTATAAAAAAAAATTGTGACTAAGGATTTTTAATATTTTTCATCTGCCTTTGAAACAACATATTAGAAGCCTTCTATTAAATTTTCAAGCTTTCGCAACCAACAAATAAAATTTTATTGATATTTTAAAAAAAAAAACTAAAAAAAAATGGAAAATGAAAATGTCCCTAAACAGTTCAAAATAAATCAAAATATTTTGAAAATGTTATCGTGTATAGAAAATGCAAATATAAACAACCAGTGAAAATTTCATGTATCTACGTTAATTTGTTTTAGAGTTACACCAATAACCAAAATCGATTTTTTGGAAAACCAATTTTGCGTAAAAATTCCCGTTTTTCCTTAATTTTTATGTTGTTTTTCTCCGCGCTTGTGAAAACTACTGGAAAATGTTTACTTTTGACCCCCCAAAGTACCAACTAGATTCACTTTCCTATCAGAAAAGGTACTATTGAAGAAAATCGAAGCACTTTTACTGTCCCAAAACGTGATGACAGACACAAAAATATAAATAAAAATATAAATAAAAAGGTGGGCAAGTGGGTGTCGCTCTGCTGTACAGTAGGTTACAAGTGGGTCATTGTATAATGGATGGTATTAAATTTGAATTCAATGATATAATATCATTGTATAAGAAAAACGATTCTGAGCGGAGACGGTATGTCCTTTTAGGTATAAGACATATTATATACATATCTATGGTATTAAAAAAAATTGACCTATAATGAATTCCAAATTAATCATATCACAATATCCATTAGGTACTTATAACGCGTTATACACCAACAACAAACCCTAATACTATCATAGATATATATAGTAGATTACTTTAGAAATTTCAAGTACCCACGAATAATATTATACAATCACAACAAAATAACTAAAATCGTAATTCTTGGTTTAAATATGAAATTTTGTCTAAATTTGAAATTAAAATGTCTGTAAAAAATAAGTGTGTTTATATATTTTTTAGATTTTTTGGTTACAGTATGAATTATTTAAGAGAATCTTTGTTTTAAATTTTCAACTCTTAGTTATAAAAACTGAACATTTTATAATTTTTTAATTCCAACGATTGATAATTTTCGAGATTTTGATAAATTTTGTCAAAATTCCAACTTTAAATGCTTATAAAAAAAAATCGTGCCTATGTATTTTTAATATTTTTCAACTGATATTGTAACAATATATCAGGAGCCTTGTATTAAATTTTTACACTTTTTGGCCCAACAGATAAAACTTTATTGATATTTATAGAAAAAAAAACTAAAAAAAATTGAAAGCTGTAAATGTCCATAAACAGCTCAAAAAGAGTCAAAATATTTTCAAAATTGTATGGTGTATAGGAAATGCTAATATAAACATTCAGTGAAATTTTCATGTATCTACAGTTATTCGTTTTTGAATTACAACAAAATAAGGAAATCGCTACATGAGAAATCGAGTGAAAATCCAATGTTGTAAAAATTTGAATTTCAAACGCTCATAAAAATTTAATTTAACTGTCCGGTAGAGATTTTTTTATTGATAAAGGTAGATAATCTTATAAGGAATCTTGTGTTTCATTTTCAAATCTTAGATTTAAAAAGAAAAATTTTTACGAATTCTTAACTCAAAATAATTTGCTAATTTTCGTGATTTTTCCATATTTTGTCAATTTTTGAACTTTAAATGCTTATAAAAAAAAATTGTGACTAAGGATTTTTAATATTTTTCATCTGCCTTTGAAACAACATATTAGGAGCCTTCTATTAAATTTTCAAGCTTTCGCAACCAATAAATAACATTTTATTGATATTTTTAGAAAAAAAACTAAAAAAAAATGGAAAATGAAAATGTCCCTTAACAGTTCAAAATAAATCAAAATATTTTGAAAATGTTATCGTGTATAGAAAATGCAAATATAAACAACCAGTGAAAATTTCATGTATATACGTTCATTTGTTTTAGAGTTACACCAATAACCAAAATCGATTTTTTGGAAAACCAATTTTGCGTAAAAATTCCCGTTTTTCCTTAATTTTTACGTTGTTTTTCCCGGCGCTTGTGAAAACTACTGGGAAATTTATACTTTTGACCCCCCAAAGTACCAACTAGATTCACTTTCCTACCAGAAAAGCTACTGATGAAGAAAATCCAAGCATTTTTACTGTCCTAAAACGTGATGACAGACACAAAAATATAAATAAAAATATAAATAAAAATATAAAAAAAAAGGTGGGCAAGTTGGTGTCGCTCTGCTGTACAGTAGGTTACAAGTGGGTCACTGTATAATGGATGGTATTAAATTTGAATTCAATGATATAATATCATTGTATAAGAAAAACGATTCTGAGCGGAGACGGTATGTCAGTCTATGTATAAGACATATTATATACATATCTATGGTATTAAACAAAAAATTGACCTATAATAGGTACCTATAATAAATTCCAAATTAATCATATCACAATATCCATTAGATACTTATAACGCGTTATACAACAACAAAAACCGTGATACTATCATAGATATATAATAGTACACTTTAGAAGTTTCAAGTACCCACGAATAATATTATTCAATCACAACAAAATAACTAAAATAGTTATTCTAGGTTTTTTAATATGTAATTTCGTCCAAATTTGAAATTAAAATGTCTGTAAAAAATAAGTGTGTTTATATATATTTTAGATTTTTTGGTTACAGTATGAATTATTTAAGAGAATCTTTGTTTTAAATTTTCAACTCTTAGTTATAAAAACTGAACATTTTATAATTTTTTAATTCCAACGATTGATAATTTTTGAGATTTTGATAAATTTTGTCAAAATTCCAACTTTAAATGCTTATAAAAAAAAATCGTGCCTATGTATTTTTAATATTTTTCAACTGATATTGTAACAATATATCAGGAGCCTTGTATTAAATTTTTACACTTTTTGGCCCAACAGATAAAACTTTATTGATATTTATAGAAAAAAAAACTAAAAAAAATTGAAAGCTGTAAATGTCCATAAACAGCTCAAAAAGAGTCAAAATATTTTCAAAATTGTATGGTGTATAGAAAATGCTAATTTAAACATTCAGTGAAATTTTCATGTATCTACGGTTGTTCGTTTTTGAATTACAACAAAATAAGGAAATCGCTACATGAGAAATCGAGTGAATATCCAATGTTGTAAAAATTTGAATTTCAAACGCTCATAAAAATTTAATTTGACTGTCCGGTAGAGATTTTTTTATTGATAAAGGTAGATAATCTTATAAGGAATCTTGTGTTTCATTTTCAAATCTTAGATTTAAAAAGAAAAATTTTTACGAATTCTTAACTCAAAATAATTTGCTAATTTTCGTGATTTTTCCATATTTTGTCAATTTTTGAACTTTAAATGCTTATAAAAAAAAATTGTGACTATGGATTTTTAATATTTTTCATCTGCCTTTGAAACAACATATTAGGAGCCTTCTATTAAATTTTCAAGCTTTCGCAACGAACAAATAAAATTTTATTGATATTTCTAGAAAAAAAACTAAAAAAAAATGAAAAATGAAAATGTCCCTAAACAGTTCAAAATAAATCAAAATATT